TTGGTAGAGATGGGGTTTCACCATGTTGGCCAGGCTGGTCTTGAACTCCTGACCTCATGACCTCAAGTGATCTGCCTGCCTCCCTCCGTCCTAATTTTTTTTTTTTTTAAGCCAGAGTCTCGCTCTTTTGCCCAGGCTGGAGTGCAGTGGTCCGATCTTGGCTCACTGCAAGCTCCGCCTCCTGGGTTCACTCCATTCTCCTGCCTCAGCCTCCTGAGTAGCTGGAACTGTAGGCGCCTGCCACCAAGCCCGGCTGATTTTTTGTATTTTGTTTAGTAGAGATGGGGTTCCACCATGTTAGCCAGAATGGTCTCAATCTCCTGACCTGGTGATCCGCCCTCCCCGGCCTCCCAAAGTGCTGAGATTACAGGTGTGAGCTGCCGCACCTGGCTAACCCAATTATTTTTTATTTTTATTTATTTATTTTTTGAAACAGAGTCTCACTCTGTTGCCCAGGCTGGAGTGCAGTGGCGCGATCTTGGCAGGGGTTACAGGCTCCTGCCATCTTGCCTGGCTAATTTTTGTATTTTTAGTAGAGATGGGGTTTTGCTGTTTTGGCCAGGCTGGTCTTGAACTCCTGACCTCAAGTGATCCACCTACCTCAGTCTCCCAAATTGCTGGAATTACAGGCTTGAGCCACCATGCCCAGCCAAATTTTTAAATTTAATTTAATTTTTTATTTTATTTTATTTTATTTTATTTTTTGAGACAGAGTTTCACTCTTGTTGCCCAGGCTGGAGTGCAATGGCACGATCTCAGCTCACAGGAACCTCCGCTTCCTCAGCTCAAGCGATTCTCCTGCCTCAAGCCTCCTGAGTAGCTGGGATTACAGGCATGCACCACCATGCCCGGCTAATTTTGTATTTTTTTTAGTAGAGACGGGGTTTATCCATGTTGGTCAGGCTGGTCTCGAACTCCTGACCTCAGGTGATCCGCCTGCCTCGGCCTCCCAAAGTGCTGGGAGTACAGGCATGAGCCACCACACCCAGCAATTTTTTTATGTTTTGAACTTCTGGCCTCAAGCAATCCTGCCTTGGCCTCCCAAAGTATTGGGATTATAGGTGTGAGCCACTGTGCCCAGCCACTAGCTGTGAGATCTTGAGTGAGCTACTTAATGGCCCTAAGGGTCCTCATCTGTGTAGTGGAGATAATAATACTTGTCCCACGGGGCTGCTGTGATCATTAAATTAGTTAAAGGACATAAATGTGGTTGAAGTAGTTGACATGGTTGATGTACAGTAAAAGCTAGTCTTTTACTTCTAAGCCAGATGGGGTGAGGGGGCATTGGAGAGCTGAGCAGAGGAAGCCTGAGATCTTACTTAGGTTCCCAGAGGCTGTCCTGGCTGCCATGTTGACACTATACAGCAAGGATGGAAGCAGGCCAGTCCGGATTCTGCTGTACTAAGCCAGGCAAAAGATGGTGGTGGTGTAGGCTAGATATGTTTGAAGAGAGTTGATGGGGTTTGCTGATGGATTGATTTGATGTGGGCATGCAAGAAATAGAAGAATGTGGGAGGATGAGGTTGGTGAGTTGGAGGCAAACTGGTGTTTAATTTTAGACATGTTTCTCTCGTGTGTGTGTGTGTTTTCTTTTTCTTTTTTTTTTTTTCTGAGACAGAGTCTCTTGCCTATGTTGGAGTGCAGTGGTCGGATTACAGCTCACTGCAGCCTTGACCTCCTAAGCTTAGGTGATCCTCCCACCTCAGCCTCACAGGTAGCCAGGACTACAAAGGCGTGCCACCACATCCAGCTAATTTTCTTATTTTTAGTGGAGATGGGGTTTTGCCGTGTTGTTCAGGCTGGTCTTAAACTCCTGGGCTCAAGCAGTCCACCCTCCTTGGCTTCCCAAAGTGTTGGGATTACAGGCGTGAGGCACCATGCCTGTCCGACATGTTACGTTTTAAGATGCCTATTCAAGATCCAAGTGGAGATGTTGACTAGGCCCTTGGATATACAAAGCTGGAATTCAGAGAAGGAAGTTTGGGCTAGAGTGGAAAAGTTGGGAGTTATTAGTATGTGTATGTATATATATTTGTGATTTTTTTTTTTTTCTTTGAGATAGAGTTTTGCTCTTGTCGCCCAGGCTGGAGTGCAGTGCCTTGAATACTGAATTAGTGAATGTTAAACCATTGCTTCTAGGGGAAATACAGGGTTAGGTTCCTGCAAGCCTCTGGTCACATTTTGTTCAACCAATCAATATATAACTGATCACTTGTTTTATGTGTGTTTCTGTTTAGAGACAACTTACTTGACATAATATTGTTGATTCATTAACAGTGAACTCAGGGCCAACAGCACTGTGATTTGTGCCTGACTGAACCTTATCCAACACCTCCCATAGTTCTTGCACTTAGCAACACTAGAAAGCACCTCAGTACTATACTTGGGGACCCAACAAAATGTACACAAATGAAAAAAAGTAGCATTAACTGCATCACAATAAAGCTTTGTTTAGTGTGTGTCAAGCAACTCAATATTCTTACCACTCTGTACACGTCCATGACTTTTGATTTGAAAGTACCACAAATATTGATTTGGGGGTTACAAATAAATTTTAGTGAGTAGGCAGATTCATAGATAAAGACTGAACTGTGAGGACTATTTGGTTGAATGTATTTTTATTTTATTTATTTTATTTTATATTATATATATATTTTATATTTTATATTTATTTATTATTTTATTTTATTTTATTTTCAAGATGGAGTCTCACTCTGTCGCCTGGGCTGGAGTGCAGTGGCGTGATCTCGGCTCATTGCCACCTCTGCCTCCCGGGTTCAAATGATTCTCCTTCCTCAGCATCCCGAGTAGCTGGGACTACAGGCACACACCATCACGCCCAGCTAATTTTTGTATTTTTAGTAGAGACAGGGTTTCACCATGTTGGCCAGGCTGGTCTCAAACTCCTGATCTCAGGTGATCCACCCGTCTCGGCCTCCCAAAGTGCTGGGATTACAGATGTGAGCTACCGCTCCCGGCCTGAGTGTATTTATTTTACATATTTATATTTGAACTGAAACTTTTATGAACCATTTTATTTAATGCATTCTGACATTTTCTATTATTTCATTTTAATTTTTTTCCAAACAAAACTTCTCACATATTTATTATTGAACCAGCCTACCAGTGTAGAGCTTATAATCAGAGAAAAACCATTTTCTCAACAAAGTATGTCCACCTTTCCAGATAGTGGTGATAGTTTCAGCTTGTTGTGATAAGGTGTGCTGCATCTCATGTGTAATTCCTGGCAGACCTAGCTTGGTTCTTCTCCAGTCCCTCCTCTTGGGGTTGTAGCTAACTGTATTAGCAGTTTTTTGTTTTGTTTTGAGATGGAGTCTCACTCTGTTGCCCAGGCTGGAGTGCAGTGGCGCGATCCCAGCTCCCTGCAACCTCCGCCTCCCAGATTCAAGCGATTCTCCTGCCTCAGCCTCCTGAGTAGCTGGGACTACAGATGCGTACCACCACGCCTTGCTAATTTTTTTGTATTTTTAGTAGAGATGGGGTTTCACCATGTTAACCAGGATGGTCTCAATCTCCTGACCTTGTGATCTGCCTGCCTTGGCCTCCCAAAGTGCTGGGATTACAGGCATGAGCCACCACGCCTGGCCCTGTATTACCAGTTTTAATCTGAATTCACTGGGGAATGGGACGATTTTGCTTTTGTTTCTTGGCCAGGAATTGCATGATCCTGAACGTTTTGTGAGAAGACGGTGGGAGAAAGAATCAACAGCACACACCATGATGGTGGAGAAGGGGTGGGGGGAAGCGGGTAGAGGAACATGTTTCTCTGTTTCATTTATTTTTGAAAAGCTGGGTCTGGGCGTGGTGGCTCACACCTATAATCCCAACACTTTGGGAAGCCGAGGCGGGGAATCACTTGAGTTTAGGAGTTTGAGACCAGCCTGGCCAACATAGTAAAACCCTGTTTCTACTAAAAACACAAAAATTAGCTGGGCGTGGTGGCATGTACCTGTAATCCCAGCTACTCAGGAGGCTGAGACAGGAGAATCACTTGAACCCGGGAAGTGGAGGTTGTAGTGAGCCAAGATTGTGTCATTATACTCCAGCCTGGGCAGAAAGAGCGAAAATCTGAAAAAAAAAAAAAAAAGCTGGTCACAGACTATAATGGACTACAGCTGGCTGTTTGAAAAACATGGTGGAAGTGGCAAAGCCATGAGACTGGATGTGATAGATTACTTCTGGAGGGAAAGAGCCATCATTCTTCCCAGGGCCGACTCAGGGGCAGAAAGAAGCCTATGTGTGAGGAGTTAAAAAGCCAAAGTGTGGCTGGGCGCGGTGGCTCACGCCTGTAATCCCAGCACTTTGGGAGGCCAAGGCGGGCGGATCATGAGGTCAGGAGATCAAGACCATCCTGGCTAAGACGGTGAAACCCTGTCTCTACTAAAAATACAAAAAATTAGCCAGGCATGGTAGTGAGCGCCTGTAGTCCCAGCTACTTGGGAGGCTGAGGCAGGAGAATGGCATGAATCCGGGAGGCGGAGTTTGCAGTGAGCTGAGATCACGCCACTGCACTCCAGCCTGGGCGACAGAGCGAGACTCAGTCTCAAAAAAAAAGCCGAAGTGTGGGGTGAGGGGACTGGCCTCCTCACGCCTCGGCAGGGCCAGGCCTCCTGCTAGTGCTCATGGGCCCGATCTCCTCCCAGGTGACCATCTTGGTGCTGCAGGGCCGGCTGGATGAGGCCCGACAGATGCTCTCCAAGGAAGCCGACGCCAGCCCTGCCTCTGCAGGCATATGCCGAATCATGGGAGACCTGATGAGGACAATGCCCATTCTCAGTGTACGTGGGGGTAGCTTTGCTCTGCTGGGTCACAGGAGATGGGTGATTCACTAAATATAAAGAGTTTGGGTGGGATGATGTCTCATGGCTGGTCTCTCCCTTAGCCCGGGAACACCCAGACACTGACAGAGCTGGAGCTGAAGTGGCAGCACTGGCACGAGGAATGTGAGCGGTATCTCCAGGACAGCACATTTGCCACCAACCCTCACCTGGAGTCTCTCTTGAAGGTCTGGGAAGCAGTTCAGATTGCATCCATGTTGGCTTCCTGTGGGGGCTGTGGCATCCAGTGCAGCAGTGGCAGAAGCTTGGTCCTCTTTGGATAGGGCTGTCTGTTGCTCTGCCATGATGGTGAGAGCTTTCAGACTAGTTGAAATCCAGTGCTCTAGCTGAGAGCAGGAGCATTATGGAGAAGGTACCCCTGAAAGGAGGACAGAGTTCAGCACAAATGTCTCTTCCTCAGATTATGCTGGGAGACGAAGCCACCTTGTTAGAGCAGAAGGAACTTCTGAGTAATTGGTATCATTTCCTAGTGACTCGGCTCTTGTACTCCAATCCCACAGTAAAACCCATTGATCTGCACTACTACGCCCAGGTGAGTGAGCTTGGGGTGGGCAAGGGTGGAGGTAGGAGTCCTGGTGGCGCCGTGATGGGTCATTCTCTTTGAATTTCTCCCCGAGGAACAGGAAGATCCTTTCCTTTGGTCCTTAGTGAAAGAACATGGCACCCTTCTCTGGGGTTCCTTATACAGCAGCCCTGCCTGTCCCCTGAGTCTCTGCTTCCATCCTCGGAATTGAGTGTCTCATCACCTTTCCACAGTCCAGCCTGGACCTGTTTCTGGGAGGTGAGAGCAGCCCAGAACCCCTGGACAACATCTTGTTGGCAGCCTTTGAGTTTGACATCCATCAAGTGATCAAAGAGTGCAGGTAGGATCTCTCCCACCCCCCACTTGTAACCATTTTTAGGTGTGCAAATATCACCACCATCCGTTTCTAGAGTGGCCTGTTCTTCCTTACCCTTCTTTCCTCAGACCTGCTATCTTAGTCCATCTCTTGCTGCTATTGCAGAATACCTGAGACCAGGTAATTTATAAAGAAAAAGATTATTTTCTCACAGTTCTGGAGGCTAGGAAGTCCAGGATCAAGGTACTGGCAATGTTTCTGGTGAGGGCTGCTCTCTGCTTCCAAGATGGCACCTTGAACAACTGTGTTCTCATGTGGTGGAAGGGCAAGAAGGACAAACTCCCTTTGTCAAGTCACTTTATAAGGGCACCCAATCACATTCATGAGTGAGGAATCCTCCTGGCCTAATCACCTCTCAGAGGCCCTACCTCTTAATACTATCACATTGGCAAAACTGGGGTTTTAGAGGGGATCCCTTCAAACCATAGCACCTGCTCCCCTGCTTGGCCTGCTACAGGTAGATAATGGCTTCTCCCTGGGTGAGCTTGGGGACTTCCTGGAGGCTTGAGGGCTACCATATACATAACTGTTTCTATTTTAGGGATGTTTATTTAAAATCACATTGCAGGAAATTACTTTGACAATTTAAAATCTAGAAAACGCCAGCAAGCCTGTTTCTTGGCACCTAATGGATACGTAGTCACCTTATGGGATGGCATGTTCCAACAGTCTCACTCCAGTGACGTGAGCTACCAAACCACCGGGCTTGAGGCTGGGTATTATTCAGAATTTCCAGCCCTCTATCCAAAAGAAGGTGTTCTGTCATTGCACTGAATCTTTAGCAAGGCAGGAAAGGGAGTGCCAAACGTAATGAATCAGAGATAAACCTTTCCAGAACTCTCCATATATGTTAAGTCAGAAAGAATGTCCCCTTCCTTCTTGTGCACCCTGGATGGTGGGCATTGCACTGAAGACCTGCTGGGAAGGGAGGAAGTGGGTAATAGCAGAAGATGGCCTTGATCAGGTGGCAGATTCACTGACCTCAACTGGCTCTTTGTAGATCTGGGCATGGGAAGAGGTTCCTTAGCCCTGCCGGCTCTTATTTTGGCCAAAAGAAAGCCAGGGCTTCAAGAAAATGATTCTAGATTTGGGGAATGAAAAAAGTTTTTTGTGTGTTTGTTTGTTTCTGGGGTTTTGTTTTTTTTTTTGAGACAGAGTTTTGCTCGTTGCCCAGACTGGAGTGTGGTGGCGCGATCTTGGCTCACTGCAACCTCCACCTACTGGATTCCAGCGATTCTCCTGCCTCAGCCTCCCAAGTAGCTGGGATTACAGGTGTCTGTCACCACGCTGAGCAAATCTTTGTGTTTTTCAATAGAGACAGGGTTTCACCATGTTGCCCAGGCTGGTCTGGAACTCCTAACCTCAGGTGATCTGCCCACCTCAGCCTCCCAAAGTGCCGGGATTACAGGTGTGAGCCACTGCCCCCTGCCAAGGTTTTTTTTTTTGTTTTTTTTGTTTTTTTTTTTTGAGACAGGGTCTGTCTTTGTCACCCAGGCTGGAGTGCAGTGGAGTGATCTCAGCTCTCTACAACCTTGATGTCCTGGGTTCAAGTGATCCTCTTGCCTCAGCCTTCCAGGTAGCTGGGACTACAGGTGTGTGCCACCATGCCTGGCTAATTATTATTATTTTTTTTGTAGAGATGAGATTTCACTATGTTGCCCAAGCTGGTCTTGAACTCGTGAGCTCAAGTGATCTGCCTGTCTCAGCCTCCCACAGTGCTAGGATTACAGGCGTGAGCTGCCATGCCCGGCCTGATAGTCAAGTTTTGTGTCAGTATTTTCACAGGCCTGTAAACATCGTGGGAAGTCCCTGCATGGAGGAATTAGAATAACTTAAAAACACGCAAACACACCATCATTTGGCTTTTTTGGTGTCTCTGCCCATAGTTGAGTATTCCTAAATTTCCTGTCCGTTAAAATAGTGAATGTGTTTCACCAGGGCTTCCTTTATAAGCTGTATCTGAATTTTTAGGAATAAAACAGATTTGAGCAGAACAAGTCTCTTGGATGCAGGGAGTATAAAAGGGGAAAGCGTCCTGCTATTTCCAGTGGCAGAAGAAAAAGAGAAGTACCAATGAAGAGGGGTGAACAACAACACTCTCGTGCCGGACACAGACAAGGAAGGGTTAGGCTCACAGTCCCCCAGTTTCGGCCTCTCTCCATCCTCACAAGCAGGAAGGGATCTGAGCTCTGTTAGTGGGAAATCTTGGAGTTTGCATTTCTCTGATGGCGAGGCTACCTCCTATCCTGTTTTGAAAGAGGAACAGAAAAGCAGAGCTTGTCCCAGGAATTGTGAAATGGGCTGAAATGTCTTGAGAGACAGTAGCAGTTTTAGAAGTGTGCCCTCCTGGCTCTGGGGAAAGATTGAATTGGGGTCTTGTGGGCACATGTTTTCTCATGGGATGTATCAGTCAGATCCATGCACACTTCCGGGGGGCAGGGAAGTGTCTCTTTCTGGACTTGAGCCAGTGGGCTGTTGGCATGACTTTTTAAAGGCATTAGAAAGAGGCTTCTTTCTCTTTTTCCTTTCCTGTTCACACCACCTTCATATGAACATGGAGAAGGGAGGTTTCTAAGTGGGCCCCTGATTTACTCCTATGTCAGTAGTCATGCCAGACCCTAAGGGGCAGAAAAGGCAGCCAGGGGATCCTGACTCAGAGGCTGTAGTTCCTCAGCCCTGCTAAAGGGCCAGGGGTTTGTCTGTCAGCGCCTGGCTGGGCATGCTTGACTGTTAACCCCTCAGCTGAAAAGATGGCAGGATTCCTCCATGGGGTCCTCCACAGGGTCCCTTCTTCCCTCCTGGCTTACAGCTTCCTCTGAAGACGGGCCAATTCCTTGCTTTCTGGCAAGAGGAAACAGAGCTGGGGTATACTTCACTGGGAATTGGGCAAGATGTCAGCAGTTTCCTGGTGCCCTTCAAGTCCTCCAAAAGTATCGAGTTAAAAGGTGACAAGTCTTCCTTCAGTAACCAAGAAGAGTTCCAGTTTAATGTCTGCTGAATCTGGAATCTTCTGACTTGTTTTTTGGCCCAGCACACAACCTTGGATGCAGGGTGCAGCAGTGTTTGCAAACCTCACACCCCATTTCCAGAATAGCAAGCAGAGGCTCTGGAGCTTTGATTACTCCAGGGCCCCCAACAAGCAAGATGGGGCCCGGGTAAGGAGTTGACAGTGACCTTAGTACAGGTCAAACAGCTCATTTGGGGCTACAGTTGCCCAGGGGGGTCACCTTCATCGTAGCTGGTCTTCCCAACTCCACAGCGTTCTTTCGTTTTCAGCAGAGGGCTACTTCGGAGCTGATAATTAGGCCTTTCCTGACTTGAATGTTGAGGTTGCCCGCCTGCTCTGCGTCTCAGCTGCTCACTCAGAATCCTTGAGAGTGAGAGAGAGAGTGTGAGAGTGTGTGTGTGTGTGTGTGTGTGTGTGTGTGTGATCTAAGACCTAACTATGGTTCAGGCCTGCTGGGCCCTGCGGGGAGACCGTGGTGGCCTTGTGCAGCACTAGGTCTGGTCTCCGTCACTTGAGTTGTATTGTGGGCGTGTGTGTGTGTGTGTGTGTGTGTGTGTGTGTGTGTGTGTGTTCTAAGACCTACTGTATGGTTCAGGCCTGCTGGGCCCTGCGGGGAGACCGTGGTGGCCTTGTGCAGCACTAGGTCTGGTCTCCGTCACTTGAGTTGTATTGTGGGCAGAGGCCCTCAGTGCTTGCTGCCTTCCAGCCTGGGAGGCTGCTGGATCCTTTGGGAAGACACCGGGCACCGTCTCAGCCCTTCCTTCCACTGGCGGGTGACTTTCATGCAGGCTAAGGCTTTGGCTCCCTTAGCCTGGGTCCCCTATAGCCTTTTCACTGGCTTCTCTAATGGTTTTGACATAACCATCAGCTATAAATCTGGGTAGCAACAGCTGTTTTGGGAAGCTGAGGTGTCCTTTCCCCTGGGCCAGCCCACTCCCCATTTTTTTCCCCAGCTTTATTGAGGTGTGATTAACAAAGTAGTATGTATTTAAGGTATACAACCTTTTTTTTTTTTTTTTTTTTTTTTTTTTTTTTTTGAGACGGAGTCTCGCTGTGTCGCCCAGGCTGGAGTGCAGTGGCCGGATCTCAGCTCACTGCAAGCTCCGCCTCCCGGGTTTTTACGCCATTCTCCTGCCTCAGCCTCCCGAGTAGCTGGGACTACAGGCGCCCACCACCTCGCCCGGCTAGTTTTTTGTATTTTTTAGTAGAGACGGGGTTTCACCGTGTTAGCCAGGATGGTCTCGAACTCCTGACCTCGTGATCCGCCCGTCTCGGCCTCCCAAAGTGCTGGGATTACAGGCTTGAGCCACCGCGCCCGGCCTTTTTTCTTCTTTTTTTTTAAGACAGTGTCTTGTCCTGTCGCTCAGGCTGGAGTGCAGTGGTGCGATCTCAGCTCACTGCAACCTCTGCCTCCTGGATTCAAGCCATCTTCTGCCTCAGCCTTCTGAGTAGCTGGGACCACAGGCACTTGCCACCACGCCCAGCTAACTTTTGTATTTTTGGTGGAGATGGGGTTTTGCCATGTTGGCCAGGCTGGTCTCAAACTCGAGCTCGAGTGATCCATCCACCTCGGCCTCCCAAAATGTTGGAATTACAGGAGTGAGCCACTGTGCCCAGCCAAGGTGTACAACATGTTTTGATAGACGTGTACATTGTGAAATTAAGCTAGTGAGCACATCCGTCACCTCACATAGTGACCCTTTTGGTGTGCGTGTGGTGAGAACATTCAAAACCTGCTTTCTAGCTGGGTGTGGCAGCGCATGCCTGTAACCTCAGCTACTGGGGAGGCTGAGGCATGAGAATTGCTTGAACCCGGGAGGTAGAGGTTGCAGTGAGTCGAGATCTCACCAGTGCACTCCCACCTGGGTGACAGAGCAAGACTCCGTCTCAACTACTTTCTGAGCAATTTTTTTTTTTTTTTTTTTTGAGATATGCTTGTGCTCTCTCACCCAAGTTGGAGTGCAGTGGTGTGATCTCGGCCTACTGCAGCTTCTGCTTCCCAGGCTCAAGCAATCCTCCCACTCCAGCTTCTCGAGTAGCTGGGATTACAGGTGTGTTCCACCACACCTGGCTAATTTTTATATTTTTAGAGATGGGGTTTTGCCATTTTGCCCAGGCTAGTCTTAAATTCTTGGGCTAAGGTGATCTGCCTGCCTTGGTCTCCCAAAGTACTGGGATCATGGGCATGAGCTACCATCACACCCGGCCCCATCTCTCTGAGGGATAGGACATGTGGGGTTCTTGCTCACCCCCGCTCTTGTGGGACACGGCCTCTGCCCTGACTCTCCTTCTTGCTTTGGTATCTGAATCTGCAGCATCGCCCTGAGCAACTGGTGGTTTGTGGCCCACCTGACAGACCTGCTGGACCACTGCAAGCTCCTCCAGTCACACAACCTCTAGTAAGTGGCCTGGACGCACCGATCCTCCTCTTCTTACCACCAAGCCCTCGAGGGTGGGGTGAACTGAATGCCTGGAAGGGAGGTTGGGCTGAGGAAGGGGGTCCTGAACAGGGCAGGCCAGGAGTCTTGGTCTTTTGGTATGTTTTATTCCAGTTTCGGTTCCAACATGAGAGAGTTCCTCCTGCTGGAGTACGCCTCTGGACTGTTCGCTCATCCCAGGTAGGGAGGCTCCCACGGGTGCAGGCTGTGCTGTGTGCTCTTCAGCATGCGGGTGCCACTGGAGCTTGGACTGTTCTCTCCCGGTTGGCTCCCTGAAGGCTACAGAAGGGTCAGTGAAAGGGAGCTGCAGGTGCCAGTCCCCAGAGCCACGAGGCAGCACCTCATGTCTGTCTGCCTCGAACCTTTGCAGCCTGTGGCAGCTGGGGGTGGATTACTTTGATTACTGCCCCAAGCTGGGCCGAGTCTCCCTGGAGCTGCACATTGAGCGGATACCTCTGAACACTGAGCAGAAAGCCCTCAAGGTGCTGCGAATCTGTGAGCAGCGGCAGATGACTGAACAAGGTGAGCTGGCCCTGCTCCCAGCCTTACCATCTGTGGGACGTGGGAGTCGGGACCCTGAGGTCACACTTTGTGCTTACCCCAGCCATTCTCCTCCTCACGAGCCACACTGGAGAGAGGTGGGGCTGTGGACGCCAAGAGGTAAACTAAGAGATGGGGTAATTATTTGGGAGGGACAGGAAAGCTAGGGATCCTCTGGAACCGAGACAAAATCTACACACCACCTGGAAAGGCGTGAGCCGCCCCTTTTCTCACACACTTGATTCCACGAGGTCAGGGCTGGGGTCGGCGCTATTTCCCTGTCCAGGTGGGTTGCTATCGCTATCTCAGCCAGGCTCAATGGGGAAGCAGTGCTGGAGGTGGCTCCAGAAAAGCAGAGAGAGTGGAATGAGAATGACCAAGTCTGCCCCTTCCTTTCTCCCCTCACTGTTGAGGGATGTAAACATGAGTTACTACCCTGCAGAGAGACAGGTGGCATGTTCACGACCATTTCTGAAAGCATATGGTATTCATGATCCACAGGAAGATAGGATTTGAGGCATCTGGAGAGGTAATAGAAGAGCTGACACGTAGGGAGAAACAAAAATCTTTTGCTACCCTTGAAGCCACACACACTCACAGAGCCAGTCCTGCCGTGACGGGCACTTACACTCTTAGCAGAGCCCAGACACTGTTAATCAGCCTGAGTTTCCAGCTCTGCCAATCCAGCTGCGTTTAGAGCCCACAGAGTGGCTTTGGGGTGGAGTGAGGCTGTGAGGCCACTCTGGTCCCCACAGGGCTCAGGAATGGAGTGATTTGTGGAGTGAAAGCCGTTCACCTTTTCTTTTCCCTCGCAAAGTTCGCAGCATTTGTAAGATCTTAGCCATGAAAGCCGTCCGCAACAATCGCCTGGGTTCTGCCCTCTCTTGGAGCATCCGTGCTAAGGATGCCGCCTTTGCCACGCTTGTGTCAGACAGGTGGGTACTGCTGGTGTTGGCTTCCCAGGGACTGGGTGGTTGAGGTGGGCCTGAGACTGCTGCTCTGATGTCTGGGCTGGGCCCTGCAGGTTCCTCAGGGATTACTGTGAGCGAGGCTGCTTTTCTGATTTGGATCTCATTGACAACCTGGGGCCAGCCATGATGCTCAGTGACCGACTGACATTCCTGGGTGAGTCCCTGGGTTTTGTGCCCTGTGCTTTAGACACAAGTGGGTAGTTGGGGAGGTTGGAGGGATCATAGCAGACCTCCCAGCACTTCCTTCATATATTCCCATTGCATCAGTGGCCCCAGAAACATCCTCCGTCATGTCCAGGATCGTGAGTTTGGCTGTCACATCTCCTTAGTGCCTCCATGTTTCTGTCTTTTTTTTTTTGAGACAGAATCTTACTCGCTCTGTGGCCCAGGCTGCCAGGATGGAGTGCAGTGGCATGATCTCAGCTCACTGCAACCTCCACCTCCTGACTTTAAGCAATTCTCATGCCTCAGCCTCCCAAATAGCTGGGATTACAGGCATGCGGCACCACGCCTGGCTAATTTTTGTCTTTTATTTATTTAGTTTTTTGGGACAGTCTCACTCTGTCACCCAGGCTGGAGTGCAGTGGCGTGATCTCAGCTCACTACATCATCTGCCTCCCAGGTCCAAGCGATTCTCCTGCCTCAGCCTCCCAAGTAGCTGGGACTACAGGCATGCGCCACCATGCCTGGCTAATTTTTTGTATTTTTAGTAGAGATGGGGTTTCACCATGTTGGCCAAGCTTGTCTCGAACTCCTGACCTCAAGTGACCCGCCCGCTTTGGCCTCCCAAAGTGCTGGGATTACAGGCGTGAGCTACTGCGCCCGGCCAGTGCCTCCATGTTTCCTTTTTTTTTTTTTTTAAGATGGAGTCTCACTCTGTCTCCCAGGCTGGAGTGCAGTGGTACAATCCCGGCTCACTGCAACTTCCACCTCCCAGGTTCAAGCAATTCTCCCTCTTCAGCCTCCCAAGTAGCTGAGACTACAGGTGCATGCCACAATACCTGGCTAATTTTTGTATTTTTAGTAGAGATGGGGTTTCACTATGTTGGCCAGCCTGGTCTCAAACTCCGGACCTCAGGTGATCCACCCACCTTGGCCTCCCAAAGTGCTGGGATTACAGGCATAGGCATGAGCCACTGCACCTGGCCTAGTCAATCTGTTTTAATCCATGACTACTGTTACGTATTTTGACTCTGATGTTTCCCCAGATTTGGCTCTTTGGAGTTCTTCCGAGTCTGCTTTGAACGCTCTTGGTCTGCATCTCATTGGGGCCTATGAGTTTGGAGATAGAAAAAATCTCCTGCTCTGTGGAGTGGCTGGTCTGTGGTTTTTCTTCTCTTGTTTAGGGCCAGGGTGACTTTTGTAGGTGTCACTTGGGCAATTTGGGGGAATATGCACGTTACCTAGTGCTCTTGTTTCGCCGTAGGAAAGTATCGCGAGTTCCACCGTATGTACGGGGAGAAGCGTTTTGCTGACGCAGCTTGTCTCCTCCTGTCCTTGATGACGTCTCGGATTGCCCCTCGGTCTTTCTGGATGACTCTGCTGACAGATGCCCTGCCCCTTTTGGAACAAAAACAGGTGAAGGTTGCAGCAGGGTGGTTTTCTTTGCTTGTCCCTGCTGGAACTTAGTTGTGTAGCTGTTGGTGTGTGTGTGTTTCCTCCCTTGTCGTTCTGCCTGCGCACGTGTGTTCCCCTTAGCACCCTCTCTGGAATTCCAGACTCACACAGGAAACACTGCTTAATTTGAAATGAGGTCTTCCTGTACAAAGCACACTGTTGCGAAAGGCATGAAAGGAAGAACGTGTGAACGTGGGCCCCTGCCCAACCAGTGCAGGCCTGGGCTGGGGGCAGCCAAGCAAGGCAGGCTCTCTTCCCTAGGTGATTTTCTCAGCAGAACAGACTTATGAGTTGATGCGGTGTCTGGAGGACTTGACGTCAAGAAGACCTGTGCGTGGAGAATCTGATATTCAGCAGCTCCAGGTCATTTTCACTTCTGGGCTGATGGTTCCACATGGAGGTGGGAAAAGGCTCCCTCTATCTCAGACTTCCCCTTCCCTCCAGAAACACTGGCTCCTACGGACACATGTGCCTCTGTTCCCCTTAACCTGTGTCATTCACACACCACCTTCTTTTAGGAGGAAATGAGGGATTCTAGTGTTCTGAGCTCTACATTTTGCTCTTTCCTGTTCATTTCCAGTATGGCCCTTTGGTATTGCTTTCTTTTATATTGATAATTTTCTGGAAGCTACTATGAGTGTTAAGTGCCCTCTACCTTTGGATTAGCTAGAACCTTCGGGAGTGTGAAAGGGCTCCTTCCTGCTCTTGTCTCATGCTGGTGCTCTCTGCTTTGCAGGATGAGGACATAGAAACCACCAAGGTGGAAATGCTGAGACTTGCTCTTGCACGAAATCTTGCTCGGGCAATTATAAGAGAAGGCTCACTGGAAGGTTCCTGAGAACTGCTTCATTGTGGTATCTTTGTATGGCAATGTATATAGATTTTTTAAAGGAATAAATGTGTTGCAAATGTAGGTTCTTAGAGTCCACCCAGGGAGTTTATCTGTCCAGTCTGAACCTGAGGTAGTAAGATAAAAAATGCTTGTTTTATGTTTTTTTTGAGACACAGTCTTGCACTGTTGCCTGGGCTCGAGTGCAATGGTGTCATCTCAGCTGACTGCAACCTCCGCCTCCCAGGTTCATGTGATTCTCCTGCCTCAGCCTCCCAAGCAGCTAGAATTATAGGTGCACACCACATCCAGCTAAATTTTTTGTATTTTTAATAGAGACGGGGTTTCACTGTGTTGGCCAGACTGATCTCAAACTCCTGACTTTGTGATCTGCCCGCCTTGGCCTCTCACAGTGCTGGGATTACAGGCGTGAACCACCGCACCCAGCCTTCTCTTATGTTCTATTTGATGTGGAACTGTCTTCCTGTGCCTCCTTAGATAAGAAACCACCCCCCAGGTCTGGCGCAGTGGCTCACGCCTGTAATCCCAGCACTTTGGGAGGATCCCTCAACCCCAGGAGTTTGAGACCAGCCTGGACAACATAGGGAGACCTCATCTCTGTTTAAAAAAAACAAAAAAGAGGCCGGGTACGGTGGCTCAAGCCTGTAATCCCAGCACTTTGGGAGGCCAAGACGGGCGGATCAGGAGGTTAGGAGATCGAGACCATCCTGGCTAACATGGTGAAACCCTGTCTCTACTAAAAAATACAAAAAACTAGCCGGGCGAGGTGGCGGGCACCTGTAGTCCCAGCTACTCGGGAGGCTGAGGCAGGAGAATGGCATAAACCTGGAGCGGAGCCGCAGTCAGCGCAACCTGCCACTTGCCTCCACCTAGGTCGCCAACGTGAGACTCCCGTCTCCACCAAACCCCCACACAACGACAAAAAAAGAAACCCCCAAAGTTATGGTTGCCCTACAGTGGTCTTGGCACTTGAAGAGCCCTTTGGTGGTACTTGGTCTCGAAACTTGCCTCACCTCTTCTGCAACACTTAACATTTTGGTTATTTAGTTCCCTTAAAACAGAAGCATACAGGAACCTGCACTTTTAACAAAAACCTTGGGCAGTTCTATCACAGGCTATCCACTCATGTATACCTGGAATTCATAGGTGGTACCTTTTCCTCCATCAGGGTGAATGGCGTCTATATTAGGAAGATTCCAAGTACAGTGAAAATGGTTTTATTTAACATGCAGCAAAACAAGGGCAGCAGAGTTGGTATATCCAGTACAGCCATTTGCCACGAAGCATTGACCTCAATAGTAACGAGTAACACTCAAATAACTGTAATGTCTAGAGCGTAATAGAAAGTTCTATTTCCACAGAGTAATTCCAAACATTCCCAGGGCTGCAGCAGCCAGTCTCTGGAAAGCTCTTGGGTTTATTCTTTAGTGAAAAATGATTCACTTTTGACCTGTCCTGTTCTAATGAAGCAGTGAAACCTGCTTGCTAAAGACAGCGAGAGGCAGGGAAGGAATATGACCTCTTGATCCATAGGAAGGAATAAGGAAGCCTGGCAAGGGGCAGGGAGGAACCAGGGAATGTGGTCTGTGCCACCTTCCTTTCCCCCAGAGATGTCCGATTGCTGAGCTTGTTCATCTGAGCTCTGCAAGCTTCCCCGTGTCTATGGCAGCTGGTGATTTTTTTTTTTTTTTTTTTTTTTTTTGTGAGGGAGGCTTGGAATCCCTGTCCCAGGATCACATCCAGCAGCCAGAGTGGCCAGGACAAGCTGGCTGGGGCCAAGCACTGTTGAAGCAATAGGGTCTGGTGACTCGGCTCAAGTGTGGCCCCTGATCTCATCACCTCCAGACCCAGCATTTCGCTGACAGTGCCCCTCAGGAGCTGGGGAACAGTCGAGGTTTCTGGGCAGCACATTAGGACATACGTCTAGTGTAACATTTGTGATCCTGAGGCCTCCTGTGTCCAGCCACAGGTGCCACACCACATGCCATCTGGTGAGAGGAGAGGGAGGCCAAAGCAGTAGGACGCAGAGTAGCGGGAGATTGTAAGGGGAGGATAGCAGTTTATTTCATGCCAAGCAAGAGGTAGTCAGTAGGATGGCCTGTCCCCACGGCTGGAGGCACGCTTTTCCCAGAAAGCTGAGTACCTGCTTCTGGAGAAGGGGAAACACTGGCTGTCTTCATTTTCCTTCCTATCCCTAGTTGGGCCTGTCATGAGGCCAAATTCCATGTCCTGCCAAGATGTCCATAGGACACAGCCTGCCACTGCCAGGGATAAGCACACAACTCATTACTCCGTGGCCATTCCAGGATGATGCTGTCCACCAGAGGCAGGGCTGGGGACTTTGCAGTATGCCAGTTCCTTATTCTGGGCCAGGTATCTTCCTGGGCCACTGAGCTTGGCCCACCTCCCTGGGGATGGCAGCAGGAGCTGGCTGGCGGGGGAAGCATGGAATTGCAAAAGGGCTGCGGCCCCTTGGGCCGTGCATCTGTCAGGTGTGAGGATGTGGCTCTCGTGGGGAGTGAGCCGTGACAGCCTCCCTTTAGAGTCTCCCACCCCCCCCCTCCCCCGGTGGCTTCAGTGAATGCCAGTAGAAAGAAGAAAACACCTACACCAAGCCTGGGGTCCATGTTCCCGGGACAGCAGTGAAGTCAGGGGCCACTCCCCACCCCTGACAGCATATGGCCACTTCAAGTCACACAGGTAGATAAAAACAGGTCCTTTTAGGGGCCAAAGGAGAGGTTACCACAACAGCAGTTTGGTTCCCAGCAGAAATGCCCAGGGCCCCTGTTCCACATCAAAGCTACAAGCACTGTCGTCAGGGCATGGAGAGTGATGGGACCAGAGCCCTCCCGGTCTCAGGGCAGCCTGCCTGGCTTCAAGGTGGAGATCACAGCATCCTCTGGGGTCATAGGTTCCCCCATTGCTCCACAGGAGGGAACTGGTCCACCTCGCCCACCTCTGTGCTCAGCTGCTCCCCCAGGGCGAAGGTCAGCTTATACCGAAGCCGCACCTTCTCCTGTGACAGAGGGCAGCAAGTGAGATCCAGCCCGGGCGGCCCCTCAGTAGGACGCCCTCTACTCTGCTACCCTCTCTGTGCTACAGGAATGGTCCCTTTTCCCCACAACCCCCAACCATGCTCAGCTGCTTAACCTGAGGCAGCAAAGGGATGTGTCAATCCTACAGTCAAAACACTTCCGGCTGGGAGGTGGTGGTCCTGAGGTCCTAATCTGGGGCAGCTCGGGCCTCAGGCTGGGACCCCGGGTGCTTTGCTGCTCACCTTCAGTGGATTGGCCAGCAACATGACCTGGGTGATGGCTGCCGGTGGCTGGATGGGGCTGAATGGAGAGAGTTCTGTCCCAGAGGGTGGCTGCAACTTCACTTTCATTGACTAAAGAGAGAAGCTCCTTTGAAGACAGCTGGCAGGTGCCCCAGATGGAACCCACAGTGCACATACACACTGCCACCTGCTGGCTGCAAAGGCCTCCACACAATAGGGTCAAGCTAAAGCCGTTTTGGCCCCAGGGAGACACTAGTACCTTGGGCACTGCAGCCTGCAGCACGATGCTCTTGACAGGCAAGGGAGCTGTGTTCAGCATGGACACCACCACCACCAGTACGTCAGGTCGTCCTGGGGGACACTCCTTGGCAAAGTGGAAGAGGATGCGGAAGCCGTTTTTATCATAGGCTGTGACGGGAAGGGCACTGCCTGCAAGAACGTGGCACGTGGGTGTGGGAGGAGCAGCACCAGAGACACCCAACAGAGCCCTGGCGGTGAGGGGACAAAGGCTACTCCGTGGCCGTGATGAATCCAATGCTTCCTTATGGAATCTGGGAGGGGCGCTCAGTGAGGAGCTTAAGGCCAAGAATGCAGGCAAGGAGGACTGCCTGGCTCTAAGGGACCCCCTGCAAACAGTGCCTGGATCCACCCGTCGCATGTCCTACAGCTCTGTGGCTGTAGGCCCCACTGCCCTGCCCACCTCAAGCCTCCAACACCTACTAGGCTTGATCGATTCCAGGGGCACGTGGATGCTGGCAAGGGAGAGCTCAGGCCCCTTCAGGGGGCTGCCCTGGGACTGGAAACTCAGCGGCTGGAAGAGTGGGCTGCCGGGCGCCGTGGAGAAGGGCAGGAGAGGCCTGGCTGGGGTGGTGGTGGAGATGAGAGGAGAGGTGGCAGGTTTCACCAAGCCTGAGGTCCTGGGAGGTGGGAAGGATGGAAGGCACATCAGAGAGCCAGCCAGAGCTGGACTGACCCTCACCCAAGGCCCCTGGCCATGCTCTTACCCAGGCCCACCCCTTGCCTTCCAGCCTGACTGATGGGACTACAAGGCACCCCCACCCCTTCAAAGTTAGCTCTGGTTCTGACACATTCAGGCCCAACCCCACATCTCCCACTCATTACACTTTGGCCTCTTCTAGAAGCTGATCGAGGGCATCCAGGTGGTGCAACACGCTGTCGCCCAATGCCAAGCCATGGTGCCCAGGGACTGCAGGCTCAACTTTTGGGGCCAAAGCTGGGGCCACTCCAGTAGAAAACAAGAAGGAGCCCGCACTGGGGGCAGGAACACTGGCTGGGACCACAGGAGCTGGGAAGGGAGGCGGCAGTGGAGCTTGGGAGCTGCTTGAGGAGGGGGCCAAAGGCTGGAGAAGAGGAGCGTCGGAGGCGCCACAGGCAGCGGTCCCCGGCCTGGGGCTGAAGAAGTCCAGGTCGGACTGTTCCCTCTATGAGCAATGGAAAAGGTGGTGAGCCGAGGGCTGGCGGGGAGGGCCTGCCGCTGGAGCGGGGCACAGCCCTCCAAGGACTGCACGGCAGACAGACCGGGGAACACTCATTGTTCCCCGCTGCAGCTGGCAGGCTCTGGAGGGAAAGGACAGCTAACTGTAGCCCAGGAGACATGACACTGGAAAGTGGAGGTCCTTGGCACAGTAGTGCTGTCACCGATCCTGTGCCCCTACCTGGAGTAGGTGCCACTGGTTGTTCCCAGCTGACTCTTTGGGAGGGACATTAGGGGCTGGGTCGGCGAGGCCTGACAACAGAGAAGAAAACTGGATGAGAAGAGACTGAG